AATTGGACGATATTGCTTTGCATTCAGCTTGAACGAAAAAAGTCACTCCCTGGCATACTTTTCTGTAAGCCGGTTCTTTCATTTAAAGGTTATTTATAAAATAGAAGAGAATTTTTTTTAGAAAAAAACTATAGATCCACTTAAGTTTTTCGATATAACTTTGGTAAATGTTACTCGATCGGCACGTAATAATTACCAAATTGAAGGCGAGACTAGCTATTACTGATTTATGATAATAATATGACGAAAATCATTCAGATTATAAACAAATTATGGTAAAATAAAATGTTGAAATTTTTTTTTGTCATTTTCCTATATTTGCAATTATTATATTGTATGCATAAACATAAGTAAACTAATTAGTGTTTCTAGAAGTTGTGCCTGTTCAGTGCTTCCATACTCACTTTCATAAACAACATTTTTTCCACGATGATGGTAAATAATGGCTTTTCTATTAGAGCTACCGAAATTGCTCCTAAATTTGCAAAAATTCGCAAACTAGCTAATATTAAAAAAATATTAGAATATTTGGAACCAGCGACCTAAATGCACGCCAGCAATATTAATGCTGTTCTTTACATCTTTTGACTATAGGCCAGTGCAATTACCAAGAGAACAATTAAAATTTTATTGAAAAGAGATAACTTTGAGATTAACGATAAGCTGAAGGGCTGCGAGAAATGGTATTTGACTTTATCTTTTACGTTAACGGACTCATTACCTAATAATATGCCCTTTTTGCTGAACCCAGAACTTTTAACAAAAATTGGTCTTATTCGACTAGTGTGCTTGGCGGTCGATGCGAGTGCTCTCACAATTATAATAAAATACTAATATTTTGCAGGCTTGTTGTTGACTTCATGATACAATATATTTTCACTATTACCAAGGGATTTGAGAAAAATTAGATTTTCGACCCGCCCTAATGTATACTATTTGCCAGAGATATTATGAACACATTAATTACATCGCTAACCTTTTCAATGAAAATTTTTCTTCAAATCTGTGAGTTGTTTATGAATGCCGTTTAACGTCGTTGGGTTTCAGATCAACTTCACTTAAATATGCCAAACAAGTAGCAACACTGTTGCTTGCTCCTTGAAATTGTTGTTGCATTTGTTTGTTTACATTTTGCACTGAACAGCGGATTGTTCTTTGCAAGATTGATAAAGCAACCTATCTTTTAAAATTGGTCGTTTCGTACAAATACAGGGTTCCATATCTCATATTTAAATAGCCAATATTGGCCATTTAAGTGCAGATTAAATGTATTATCTGAAAATGAATTTTTAAAGTTAATCAACAATCTCTACTTAAATAGGCCATCTGAAATTGTGCCTTAGGCCCATTTGCAGAACAGAAGGTTATCTGTATAACTCAAAGTTTACCGATTATACCATTTTCCCACGACATCCTGAATTACTTTGTTCGCTCCCTCAATTACGACCGCGAATTACCCCATTCCCACGGGCACATTCTTAATTCGATTTGACAGTTCTCTGTATCTGTGTTTTTTTTTGTTTTTTTCGCTGCAAAATTGATGCAAAATTTAAGTTCTTCCTAAAAATTTATAAGTTTCCATAATGAATTTGGGATATACACATTTATAAACTGAACTTTCCGTACTCAGAAAAAATGCAAGTTTTGATTTGTGAGCTAGTTTCGATAAATTTCCGATAAAAATCAGAGACGGCACCGATTTGTTCGTAATTCGTATGGTAATGGGATCTGAACTACGAACAAATGAGGTATTTCGCTCTCAAAATTTTGTATAGCGAATTACGTGATTCGAAGGGTAATTGGAGTACGAATTACGAATGAGAGAGCGAACTACGTAATTGGGGTGCCGTGGGAAAGCCGTATTAGACTGATAAGTTTTCTTGCACAGCAGTAGGTTAGGCATTACTTCAGAGCTAAAAATGTAAATAAATACCTCAGCAATCTTCGAAGATTAACTTGCTAACTCTATACAATTAATGCTAAATCAAGCCAGACGACTTAGTGTGAAAGACGTCCAACCTGGCAGTATTTACGGTCAGAACGCAATGTGAGCTTGGGGATGGCAATAGGAACAGACACGACGACGCTTGTCGTATGGGGGTTGGATACCATCGAAAACCTGACCACGCATGGTTTTGTGTGGAATCATACCTCGCTCAGATTTGGAGAAGATGCGTGATGGAGTGCGGAAGGGATATGGACCACGAGAAGGATTAACATTACAGCGTTTATGCAAGTGTCAGGAAGCCTGGCTAAATAAATTCACACGAACTCTATTCTGTTGAAATGATGATTTATATAAAAAAAAATTTAGAAAGTCACGTAATTGAAATTATGATTTAATAATGTTGAACGTTTGGCAAATGATGAACGCATGTCAAGAGTTGCCATATATTTACAGTCGGCCACTCCTGTCTATACAAGCGTCTTCGCTATTAATTGTCTTCGTCATCGGTACTTACGCCACCCTCGTTAATTTGTTCGTCGAGAGCTGGCAGATTGCACCACGGTCGAAGCTTATCTGAAGCGTATATAGACGTGTAACGACGTTGTTTGCGTGAAGTCTGGAAGATCAGTTATGACGTATCGATCTCGATCAAGGGCTTTGCTAATAACGAAGAGGCCTTTGTAACGTGGCTCCAACTTTCGTGATTCGCCCGTGCTAGCTGGTTCGTTCTCGGCTAAGACCAAGTCACCGACTTTGTATTGCGTTGGCGCAGTATGTTTTTGGTCGAAACGCATTTTGGCCTTCTCTCGTTGTTGCGTAACTCGATCCGCGGCGGTGTGTCGTAGATCACTGATATCAACGTCTTGTGAGTTACAGTCGTGTAGAATCGTTGTTAGTTTGGTTTTAAGTATATCGCGCGGCTTGAATGAATACACCAACTCATATGGGGTTTGACCTGTCGTTTGGTTGCGCGTTGTGTTGATAACCCATTGGATATCACGTAGTTTGTCGTCCCATTTCTTATCTGATTGCGTCGTCGTTCGGAGCATGCTTAACAAAGTTCTGTGACAGCGTTTTGAATATGCTTAATGTCGTAGTCTTTACAGTATCTAGCAAATTCTTTGG